CAAACTCCTTCCCAGAGAAACCAATACAGGCATCAACTTAACAGATGTTATATAGCGTAGTTAAGCAGTACCATGACATCCAAGCATCATGCGTTGTGAATTAATAATGAGTCGGTGATTGCAAGATTTCGACCGACTACAAAGCTATCAGCTATAGGTCATTGTCGTCAATGTCACCTATGAACAAAGTGCATACAATACTTACAGACGCATAGTTGGTACCTGCCATCTCCGCAGAATGTTTAAATAATGACTTAGTGCATACTAACCTACTTCGCAAAATTTTAATGATTTATGATGGAGCTGGCAAGTTACAACTTTACTTGCAGTAGTCACCCCAAGAAAATTACCATAGGCTGCAGAAATGTTGCTACCTCTAGCTTTTGCAGGGACTGTGCTGCGTGTTACACGCGGGCCTTGGGTTTTAGTGCACAGCTGTTATCGTCGAGGTTTGTCGAGTGTCGTAGCATTAAAAAGAGAGAGAGAATAAAATGAGGGAAAGGGCAGGGCAGGTTAACCAGAAAATGGAGCATCCGGTTTGCTACCCTGCACTAGGTGAAGAGGGAATGGGGAAGAAAGATGGGAAAGAAAGCGAAGAGGGAAATGGACGGGCGCAAAAAAAAAAGGAAGGGGTGGCTGGGGTGCTACAGTCTGTACAATAGGCCACTGCCACGCAAAAAGTTCAGTAAGGCTTTCACTGATTTTCTGTGAGCACACAGTTCATGTCGCCTTTCAAGCACCGATTGTTCAGACAAAGGTCTGTCGTCAAGGCGAGCTAACGCAGCAGCTAGTTGACCGTCTTTGCACGCTGTAACGAGGGCAGTGACAGAGAACGTGCTCTATAGTTTCATCGCTGCCGCAATGACCGCAAGCAGCACTGTCTTCCATGCCGATTCGGAAGGCGAAAGCTTCGGTGAAGGCGACACCAAGCCATAGTCGGCAAAGCACCGTTGTCTCGAGTCGAGAGAGTCCAGACGGAGGCCGGAGTCGACGATACGTGTCCAGTCTATGCAGTCGCGTGTGCCGTGAGCACTCGGTGTTCCACAGGGATTTTAATTCTGCATTAGCGATTTTTCAGATTGTCATTGCAGAATCAGTCCTTGAAAATGGTATAGATTCTTCTTCACCATCTTCGTGTGCTGATCGAGCAGCTGCATCGGCGTGTTCGTTGCCCAATATGCCGCAGTGACTTGGAAGCCACTGAAACGTGATTCTGTGACCTTCGTCGAAGAGGTGGTGAAGTAGCTCTCTAATTTCCAGCACTAGTTGTTCATGAGGTCCCCGGCGTAAGGCGAATAAAAAACACTGTAGTGCTGCCTTAGAGTCCAGTGAACACGCTCCATTTCTTGGGCTTTTTGGTGTTTAATGACTTTAATTGCACTACGTAGAGCAGGAAGTTCCGCAGCTGTCGATTATGTCCTGGTGGGATAACTGAAATTTCACCGTTGTCGCTGTTGCAGGAAAGATCACCGACCCTGCAGACCCATCCACTTTAGTTGAAGCGTTAGTATACAGATGAGTATGCTGACTGTACTTCTCAATATAACACGATTGAAAAAGTATCATTATGATAAGCTGGCACGCACTCAATGACCATCCAAGCGTTATCTATGGATGGTTAACAAGAGAAGGTTAAACGCGCCCACAAGCTCGGCTGTGACCCAACCTTGTCTGACTTTATACAAACTGCACTAGATTTTTTTTATGGTGGCATCAAGGCAAGCTTTCTTTTTTAAGTGTCAAAGTCAATATCGTCTTGATGACACCTAATGACGTGATGGCGTTATCGACTTTATGAACATTGTTCGGTGATGCCATGAGTATGAAGCCAGCGAAATACTTCAAAACCTTTCCCAGTTCACAGAGATCTTTTCCCGTGAACTGTCGAAGTAGGGTCGCTCATGTCTTGACAGCATAACCTAATTTTAATTTAATAAGCGCTTCTGTTGTCGAGAAATACCGATTTCAATCCTGGCGTGAGCGCGCAGCACCGCTTAGCCGTGTATTTATTGGTTTTCGACGCATGCACGTCAAAGGATTGAATCTTATAGTGGTGGGTGGCCTATCAAAACTGGAGAGTGGTGAGGCAGATTGGTGGGTGGCGAAGCGGTGTCATGGGCGACATTTCCGCAGCCACCCAACATGGAGAGACCTTTGATGGGTTGGCATTGCCGGATTTCAGCACACCAGAAATTAACCGTAATGCTCAAGCCCAAAGTTGACCACTCTCGCATAGTCGCAGATAAAGCGGGACGGTTGTTACTGAGTGAGTAGGCCTTGCCTCACTGCAAAAAAAAAAAAAACGGACTTTCCTGAAAGGATCATGGAAGCTGAGGCCATCATGTGACTCCTGATATTCTGTGAACCTGAATTTGTGTCGATTGAAAACGCCTATGGTCAGCATACTCTTTTTTTTTAAATTCTCTGGTACGTTCCGTCCTGGCATGTGCCTATGTATATATTATCAGCCCTATGTTGCCTCACGTAAATATTTACGTTTTCGCAATTACATTTAGATGAACGCAGTGCTTGATGCCTGCCTGCTGTCGTTCTTGTCTTTCATGCTTGCTGCCGAAATCTTGAAACATAACGGAGTACGAAAGAGCCAAAAGTGCATCGTTCTAAGGAAACACGTTTTGATTTACATGTCTTAACGGAATTGAACATGTTTAGAAGGCTATAAATATTTGAGAGAGGATTGTCGTGAATGACCTGTTGCGAAACGCATAAAGACTTTTACGTTCTTTAAGGTCTTCTTGAAGGAATTGACTATGCTCAGACGTAAAATGCCAATTATATGACAACTCAGCGTTTTTAATTTGAATCAAGTAAGTGTTTTTCCTAAATAGCTTAATGCAAACTTAATAGTCGCCATTGCCTTCGATCAAGCGTTGCGCTGTTTCTAATGAGAAAGGCTTTGAAAACTTTATTCTACTTTTCTTAAATAAACTCATCTGTTTGTAAGGACGCAGACAAAAATGAGGTTGATTAACGAAGAAAGCACGTTCCGGAAACATTTTCAGCTACACGGGGGAGCAATCGCGAGATGATTTCGGGGAATCATTCAGCTCATAGAACTAGCTTTAGAACCAGGAAGTTGGTGTGGCCATCGCTACTTGTTTACGCCAGGTGAAAAATGCTAGGAGCGCTATAGCTGACATACGCCGTTTTTGACAGCGAAAGCTGGTATTCGATCACAAATCGGGTCATGCGCAGTTGTCCGCCGCCGCCGCCGCAGTCTGTGTTCGTAACCACATCGCGCGAAAGAAGAAGAAGAAGAAGAATAACTTTATTTATGAAGTCCAGCGAAGTTGATTTGGGGCGGGCCTAGGCGTCGGCCACGAGCCCTTGGGCTCGGGCGGCTTCCTCGGCTCGCTGGACGGCCCACAGTTGTTGTTCGAATGAGGAGCTGAGCAGAGCCCCCTCCCAGCGTGTCCTGCGGTCCGAAACTGCCTCTTCGTGGTTTTCATCGTTGCTTTCATCTAAACTCGAGCATTCCCATAGTATATGTGAAAGTGTCGCCCTTTCATCGCAAACCTTGCATTTTTCTGTTAAATACAGATCAGGGTAACAGAGACTAAAGAGAACTGGATTCGGATAAGTATATGTTTGCAGTTGTCGCCACGCAACTGCCTGTTTTTTATTTAACCTGTTGTGTGGCGGAGGGTACTTTCGCCTTTCTAGCTTATAGTGCTGCGTTATTTCGTGGTAACTAGTCATGCGGTCCCCCCACTCCCACTCCCCCCCGCGTGGAACTTCGTCCGAGGCGGCGTCGGCGTTCGCAACGGCTCGGTTCGTGAGTGCTCGAGCCGCCGCGTGCGCCGCCTCGTTGCCGGCCAGCGGGGTTTGTGTGTGTGCGGGGGTCCATATGACGAAAGTGTCATGTTTTTCCCGAATTTTGTCTTCGTTAGTCATTAGGATTCGCAGCGCCTCTCGGGAGACACGACCGTTCGCATAGTTGCGTATCGCTGCTTGCGAGTCACTAATTACTACTTCGGCCTCAGTGGTCGCCACCGCGAGTGCTATGGCCACCTCCTCGCGCGAAATTGAAAAAAAAAAAAACTAGCACCAATGACACAGTGGCGCTTAAATCCGGGCACGCTGGGTTCCAGCCCAGTATTCTACCACTGAGGTACACCAGTGCTTGTGACTTGTCAAATTTGCCTTAGGCAGGCCCGCTGTCAGAAAAGCACTCGCGTGATGACGACTTATAAGCGTTTTAAAGCAGTGAAGGAACAACCAGTCGTCGCACAATGCGAATAGCGTAACGAGTGGGCCGTTCAATGCTCCAACAAATCACAAAAGCTTGTTCTTGTTCCCCTACTAACTGTGACACATACCCACTTCAGCCATAATTCCTTATCATCGTCAATCACTGCATGAACAATTGGCACAGAATTTCATGCAAGTGTTTTTGCGTCAACCACGCTTCTCAAAAGAATGACGAAAATAGCACAGCGAATGCCGGCCTACTACGCAAATAACTTTGTTAAAAATTACCTAGTGGGTATCAAGCAAGTGTGCTTGCAGTAGTTACCCATTGAGTGTTTAAAAAACCTCCGAAAGGCCGCTCTTCTATAGCTATCGCTGTGACTGTGCTGCGGCTGCAACGCCAGGCTTGCGCGTTAGGTGCAGCACAGTCACAGCGAAAGCTTGAAGAGCGGTCTCTCAGAGCCTTTTCAAAACACTGATTGGGCAACTACTGCTAGCACACCTGCTTGGTACCCACTAGGGCATTAATAATAAACCTGCCTGCATAAACGGGCATGAGCTGACATGCGTATATGGGCTTCCAGGTGTCTACTAGCGGCTTTCTCTCACCACACTTTCTCATTCCCCATTTTTCGCTTATTGCCGGTAGAATCGGTCACACTGCCATGCTGCCAGTTGGCCTACATTTAAGCTCCGGATTGTACAAACCAAAAAGTAGAACCTATATCCATCACTGCTCTCACCTTCTATGTGTATCTGATTTTCATCGCTTTCTTTGTTGCATGAAGCTGGGACACGGCTGGCCAGGAGAGGTTCAGGAGCATCACTTCAGCATACTACCGAGGCGCTCAGGGTGAGTTTTCAATTACTAGAGGCGCAGATTGGTTGGGTATATTTTAGTAACAACATTTGTGGTCTTGTGGGCACAGTAGCTCTTCTTTGCGGGACAAAACGTGAACCAACCTTCCGCTTCCTTACCACTTATACAACGTGGTTTACAAGTATTTCACTGTTTTGAATAATACATTTATTGTTCAAACAAGCTGCAATTGCACTAATATTTCGACATTCTAATGCAGGCCTAACTGTTATACGCGTTTAACTGATATATGTGTAGTCTGAAGTTTTTACATTCCTTTGGTGACACCAAATTAGGTTTCCGCTGATTTTTCACCGTATCAAACAGCGCGAAATATCACAAGGAAGACTTAGTGAAAGAGCACACTCAGTTTATATGTCCAAACTGTGGCGTTGTGATACTGGTTTTTCTTTCCTCATTTTTTTAGGAGATCTGTTTGCGCAGGCTTAGGACATGCAGTGTGCACAATACGATTTCGACATCTCTTATTAATGCTTGTGAATCTGTTATCCTTGTTGCAGTCGTGATCCTGGTATTTGACTTGTCTCTGGCAGCCAGTTTGTACAACACACCGCAGTGGCTTGAAGAGACCCTGGAAAGCACCGGACAGGGGCACGAGCCGCTGAGATTTCTCGTGGGCACCAAGAAGGACCTTGTGGTATGTTTAACAACTTGGAGTACTGGTGGTGGGGGATACGCGGTGCTTGCTCTGAAAATTGGAGGCCACCTCTCGGAGAATAACCTCAATTATCCCAAGTAGCTGAGGTAAACCCAGTGCAAAAGTATACCGACCATGATAAGGGAGGTGATGCGATTTGCGTTGTCATTTCAAACTCGATGAAACAAGCAAAAAAAAAGAACCAAGACAAGACAAAACAACATAGGGCGTCTCATGACTCGTACAGATTTTCTCGCCGCTGTGTGAATTTGCTTAAAAAATCAAAATCGGCCTACCAAGCTGTTTAAACCTCTTCACCAATATTCTTAGAACCTGCGTATTCAACATGACGTGGCCACTGGCGTGGACATTTGAAATTGGCGAGAACCGACATGTAGGTTGAGTGGTCCACACCTCCACAGATGTAGTAATAATTATAACGTGGGAAATGTTGCCGCAGGCATACGCGTGACTTTATTAAACGCAATAGCTAGCGGTAAAGATCTCGTTTCGCAGAAATTCAGGTGTCAGTGTCGGAGCTGGCACCGGCAGTGGTGTCGTTGGTTGTGAGCAAAAAAGCAACCTTGCCCGTCAGCGAAAATTATAGGAAGGTGCAAATAAGAAAAAAATAATAAAAATTACCCCATCTCCTAATGAAGAGAGAGATGAATAGATGCAAACCTGTGGGCGCTAACGCTCACACTGGCTGTGACGTTGACGCTGGCGCTCATCGCAGCGTTGCGTAGGAGAGAAACCTGGGGAGGCGCAGAGCACGCAGGGATGTACCGGTGTTTCTTACTGGAACGTGCCAATCACTGCTAATGGGCAATGCTACTCTACGATTGGACACAGCCATCCGCAGCTCCCTTTTAGTTAACGCACACAGTGTAACTTCATCTTCAACAACACACAGTAGAAATGTCCAACCGACACTACCTTGGAGGTCAAGATTCAGTGTGTATATGCGCAGGGTGGCCAGTGAACGGTTGTGCAGCGCGAGCAGTCGGTTTTTGCAATCAAGATCAAACGCTACCTCCGTCCCGTCGGCGTTGCAAGGCGAGAGAGTGGAGCGTATAAAAGAGGACGGGGCCCATGCGCAATAGGATGTAAATGTCACGGGGAGGGATGCGTAGATGAGAGAGAGGGGGAGCGAGAGAGTAGGCCAGCACACGCTGCCTGCTTCGGTGTAGTGAGGCGAGAGGGTGCGGGTGCGTAGGAGTGGAGAGTGGAAGTGCATGCACAGTAAGGGCGGTCACGCCACACACCGGATTGAGCTCGACCATAAGACGCTTCGCATTTAAATAAAGCTTTAGTGTGAGTGGAATCAGCAATATAGACCTGTATGATGGGGAACGATGGGTTTAGCCACGCGGCTTCGACGCAAACATCCTCTGGCACACTAACGGCAAATTTTACTCTACACAATTTACCATTTGTGGCTCACATATCTTCGATATTCTTCAGTGGCTGCACTCTCATCCCCGAAATGGCACGAAGAGCCGTTCGGCGCGCTTTTGAATGGCCTCGCCATGTTGTAAAGGCGTGTTTTGTCACGCCGCATGTATACACATCGCAGCCGGTTGGTCTAAGCACTTGAGCTTTCTTTGTGGCACGCTTGATGTGTCCTCTGAGAAGTTAAGCCAAGCTAGCTATTGGGAAGGCGATACGCACACTGTCCAGTTCAGATATCGTGTTTTACACTTCACAGCGAATCTGAGGCATGCCCTCAAGTTTTTTCTGTCATTTCAGAGATGACACCTAGTATTGATTTCTTAGAATTTGTAGGGTCATAATTTAGTTGAACGTATACGCAACATAGCATACTACAAGCTGTGTGACAAGCACAGGTTGGCATAACTAGTGAAATAGTACACTTATGCATGGTAGGAGCATCAGACAGATGTTGCTAGGCCACTTACAGTAAAGAGAGGAAGGTTTACAGAGCTGCAGAAAAAGCAAGCTTGTATTTATTAGAGATCGCATTATTGCCACTCCACCATGGCCCCCCAAAGGAATAAAGAAGCCCCCTGTTCTTTATGTCCGCACGCGGCTCTGTGGTCACCCGCTGCGCTGTCCACCAGTGGATTGAAAGAATGCACGGATAAAGTAACGTTGATGACGCAAGGACGTATGATTGAACGTCGGGGCCAACATCAACATCAGTGCGTTGCAAACAGCTGGATCCACTGATTGTAGACACGTTGCATGTCGGACGTCAAAAAACTAAAAAAAAAACTTGTTTCATACAAAAGGGGCAATTGTAAGGCTCGTTTTTCTTCGCTATACAGCACATATATTTGAACTAACACTTAAGAAAGCCCAGGATTGTATAGGTGATGTTTTTGTTTTGTAATAATTGTGATGTAAACGTTGAGAAAGGTATGCGGACGGAGAGATAGGTGGCAGAAACCGAACATGCGACCTTTGAATGACACGTCCGATGCTCTCAGAACTCCGCTGCAGTGGCGATAATTCGCCTAGCCACTTTATGGAGTATGCCTGCAAATTTTTTAAAACTCGAGTGCGTCAGTCAGTGCCGCTAGTATATCCATAATGGCGAGTGAAGAACTCTCTTTTTTTTCTGCTTTCTGGCGTCGCCAAGCCCGGGATGTAATTATGAGCTGACAGCTGACCAATAATCTTTCGTGTACTACCATAAGGCATCGAGTCTGCAGGAACGGCGCTCTAGCTACAAATTAACGAAGAAGGGCACTTTATCTGAGGTGCTGTGGTTTGTTGTTTTTCACATCGAAGCAACATCCTCACTTTATTTTTGTAATCTTCATGAATTCCAGTGACTTGATGAAAACGAGTGTGGCAGTAGTCCTGTGTCCACCTTTTGCTTCGAATTACCCGCTTGGTATTTTTGTTTCCATCCCAGAACGACGGATGTTTGGATGGCATGGAAGGAGACGCGACGAAGATCGCACGCAGATTGGACGCCGAGTACTGGTCCGTCTCTGCAAAGACAGGTGAGTTCGGTTGGGGCATTATTAATGAGACATAGCAGCATGTCTAGAAGCGTGTTACCGAAATGTTCTTGCTTCAGGCGTTGACTCGATGTGCCTAGTTAAGTCGGTAACATTTCGTCATGTACGCAAAATGTCGGGTTTCTAAGGATACGAGACAAAGTTCACCATTTGGTTAGTTATACGGAATGGCGCACATGGTTCATAACTGAGATCATTCTCAATTTCCCATGCCCATTTTCTCCTGGCTAAATTCCACTCCTCTCACGTGATCTGGAGTGCAAATGTTTGGGTGTCATTACAGCGCACTGCGATGCTTTTAAGCTTTGCCGTCTGAAGGCGTCCGCCATATTGGAGCACTGGTTAAGGCGCTTGGTTGCTGATCTGAAGGTCGCTGGTCGATCCCAGCCATGGCGGTCACATTTCGATGGAGGCGAAATGCTAGAGGCCTGTGTACTGTGCGACGTCAGTGCACGTCAAATAATAATATTAATAATAATAATAATAATAATAATAATAATAATAATAATAATAATAATAATAATAATAATAATAATAATAATAATAAACCTTATCGTTTGTAGTCTTTTAAACAATAATTTTTTTTGGTTCTACTCTGAATCACTTTGTCTATTTACTGTGCGTAATATTGTAATTACGTGCTTTTTAGGTTATATGTCGTGTAACTCTTCTCAAGGTAAATATTATTTTTTGCATAATATATAAGCATATATGATGGCCCCTCCCTTCTGCACGTCACGTTGTCCGTTGAGGGTAAAATGAATTAAATAAAACAAACAAGATAGAAAGCAAATGCCTCGGTGTTACAACACGGTGCGATGCCTGCAAGCCCTCCCTTATTTAGGCGCTGCGCTCAATACATCTTCGTGTTTTCGAAAGCTGTGGCCTTTTCTCAATACGGCCTTTATGCACTGTTAAAGAAGTTTTGAGCTACGGTAGTTTTTATTTTCATTTTGTTTATTCTTTGAAAGTTGAACAGCACGTGCACAATGCGAGTGGCCCGGCTAACCTTTCAGTCTTTGATTAGCGCTTTGTCTATCACGCCTTGTCATTGTGCGCTCACTTGTAGATCTTGAATTCCCCCCACGCACAACCGTGAAACAAACAAGACTTCACAATTGTTTCGCTGTGCCCGTTATTTGGGTCATCCTTGTCCCGCAGGCGAGAACGTGCAGCAGTTGTTCTTCCGGGTGGCCGCACTCGCTTTTGTCCAGTGCCTTACAAGGGAGCTCCAGGAAAAGCAGCAGTCACCAGAGAAGGCCGCCAACAACAACTTTGTCCGTAAGTGTTCCCATCCTACGCCCAATCCTGTTTGTCTTGCTTGCACAAAGTGACCTGATGCTCATTTCATTTCAAGTGATGGTGGACTTAGTCAGCCGGATTTATCCGGTCTGAGTGGAGGCATGAAACGAAACCTCCACATAACCTTAAAAATGCTTCATTGAATTCCACGTGCTTGTAAATATTTCGAAGCTAAGATAGATTGGGCGGACCGCTGTTGGTGTTACGTGAAATTTTGTGCGCGTTCTACAAAGGAGCGTGTGATCAAACCGGGGCTCCTCTCTTCGCAGGGCTGAGGAAGCGGAAACACGGCAAGAAGATTAAGGCACCGAAATGCTCTGGCAGCCAAAAATGTGCCACGAAGTGAAGAACCATGCTATCGGCCGTAAATGATGTGTGGGAGACGAAGGTGAAAACCCCTGCACGCATGAACGCATCGCTACAGCCAGTGACGCTGAAACCAGTGAATGCCAATAGTGTCACGGAATATCATCAGGCTGTACGCAATAGTTAACGGAGCTGCCATACCCTGACAGAACTTTCCAGCTTGGAAGCAGGCCTTCCTGTTTATAGCTGGAAGTGTGGCGGATACTGATAATTTTCAAAGAAAAAAAATTGCGCAAATAAAGGAAAAACACCACAAAGAAAGAACACAAAAACTGGCCGAGTTTTCCTTCTTTGTGGTGTCTTTTCTTTATTTGAGCATTTTTTTCTTGTGAAGTATTGAACCAACTGGCCCCTCAAGACGTCCTGATATTTTGTTTTAACCGTAGCTTTGTTGCGTTTCTTTTTTTTTCGCAAGTGAGTACAATGAATGACTGTCTTGAGGAGGATTGTGGGGCGTTAAGCGAACACTTTCGTTTTCTCTTTCGAGGCTGGTCCCAGAGGGATTAGAGGGGCAAAAAGTGACTTTGTTTACCTTACACGTACGAAACTGTGATTTCATGTGCTGACCGCTCGCATTGAAGTTCCGATGGAAACGTTTTTTTAACAAATGTTTGAAAGCCATGATTTCAATGCCAGTTTGAGAGCTGTTGAAAACCTTGAACTGGAGTAGGACGCATTCGACTGGAGTGCTTTTTTTACAAGTTTCCATCAGCACAAAAATTACAGGTCATTTATCTCAATACTGTACGTACAACAGTTATGATGCTCATCGTGAACATTCATATCTTAACCAATGTTGCAGACTGTGGTTCACACTAGTGAGGCCCTGAATAGTGTTCTGACTGGAAGCTAGCTCTAATAATAATTAAGACAAGCTTTCATGGAGCAGTAAAATATTGAAACCATGTAGAGCATTGATTTGACGTAACCTCTGAAAGCATAAGTAGAACAAGCTCAATTGGAAATCGTACCTAATGCAAGCCTGCCGTAGCGACGCTACAGCTGGAAGCATGAAACCGTTTTCCACTATATTGCTCGTAGTAGAGACAATGATGGGGTGAAAGCAAAGTATTTGATTATTTGTTCGCATCCGGCTTGGCATAACAACTTCGAACCGAGCAGCTACTGCAATTACTGAATGGCACATTTATGCCATGATTCTGATACTTACTTCTGGGACGCAAAGCACCTTGAGCTCAATGTCCGCTTGCAGAAGGCACTGAGAATACAGAAAACGTTCGGGAACCCACAAATAGTGTGCCTTGTAAGGCTGTTTAAAATTAGTAAATCAGAATGGCTATTATGCTTGCGTATTGTGCATCGTTATGTTAAACGTCACCTTTCAGAAACATAGTTACTCGCTTTTAGTCTTACACCTTTCATCATTAGTCATCGTGATAGATATAAACTCATTATTGCCAATATGTAAAATGCCTGTCTGTAACCTCTTAGAGAAGAAGGGTAAGCGTCACGCAGTCAGGATAGCTTGCGCGTGCCATGCTGCACTATTGTCGTATCTGTAGGTATCACTCTGCAACTAACGACAATCCGCGTCACTGATTCGTACGAACGTAAAGTAGCTAACTTGGCCTATCATTAGTGTAGTACACGTGAATTCGGCGAGATTTGACGTGAGAGGGTTGAGTCAAGCTCACTGAACTTCATGTCATCCTCGAACGCTCCCAACGTGCTGCCTAAGCGATTTATTAAACTCTGTTGCAGAAACAATGGCACGAGTTTGTCTCAGTATTCACCGAGTTAGACCCACGAGCGTACCTGTATACCGTCGCACTGGTACAAACAACCTGCAATGAATTATAGTCACATGGACGCTACAGTCGTTTTCTACACATGCAATCCGACTCGACCAGAATGATAAGGTGGATAAAAGGGTTTCGCAACATTTCGTTATTTTGGTTCAATTTTCAACCAACCATCTGCACACAGGTCATCTGAGCGTTATTTAGTGTATCCTTCACATAAAACAAAATTCACGGGTTTTCATATGTTTTATTCTAGAAAACCACTACGGTCGTCGAGTTGTGCTGTCATAATCCTGTCTGAGTTGAAGGGAAATTTGGAGGCAACGAGTGTTCTGAAAAAACACGAGTAAGCTATTCGTCAGCTTATAAAATGATGCATATGTCGAAGCCGCTCATGTTGGTTGTTAGTGCTCTCACAGTGATACATGATCATGTTGTCCATGCAAATGTCCTTGCTAACTTGCGCTTTAAAGACAATAAACGTATGTGATTCCCATTAGCATCCTACATTGTAAGAGTATCCTGGCTAGTCACGAGTTTCGATAGGACACACGTGAAGTTACGTTACGATGGCCTCGCGTGCATTGCGCCGAAGAATAAAGGGTGAGAGACGTTGTGCAGCAAGTTTTGTTGTGTATATTTGCGTTTTCGTAATATTCATCTGCTGTGCGAGAAAAAAAAAAGCATACTCTTTGAGACTGTTGACTTTGCAATAAGTGCCTTTTGCAAAATATCGTTTTCTAGGTTTTATATTCAAGTGTTCAATGAATGTGTAGTTAGCACGCGTGTATGTGAAGCAATAAAACAATTGAGTGCTTTGTGCAAGCCACATGTATCTCCTGATCAAATCGTTCAATTCTCGTTGGCCAGAATGAACGCTCTGTTACCGCGACGCTATCGGTTACGGGTTTATGAGTGTATTTGTGCACACGAGAACAAAGCAAACATTTTTACCTTTTGACAAGTGCGCAACATAGTTCTAAAACTTTTCGTCATCTGGCATGAAGGAGTCCGAAGTATATTGAATATTTTCAAAGCGTTTCATTATACTGTGGGATTGTTTACTCAAATCAGTATTTCGGAGCATAATAACTCCAAGCGTGCAGTTGTACCCCGTGTCATGAAAGTGGGCGTTTTGGCAGGGTTCTGAATGGCCTGCAGTGCCCGCTGCTTGACAAATATAGAGGATCTGGGCTGTAGCTCCACGACTTGTGAATGCTTGAACAAGTGAAAATTAGGCCAACATTATGTAGCAGACGAGTTTAAATTATTATTCATGTAGCATTCCTTTCTTCCATTATGGCAATGCTAGTACAATACGAGTATTAGGCTCCATTCATCTGGTACCTGCCGTCTGAACAAAATTCGAAGAACTGCAAAGCACTTCATAGGCTCAAAATGTTTCAGCTCCTGTTTCAATGCTTTGTTAGTGTCCATTGATAACACAGCATGAGGTCATTTTTTGAACTCTTTTTCTTAAGCAAACATACATACAATACTCAGGAACTCCATTTATGTGGCGCATTTTTGGTTTCTTCAAGCACAATAATTTTCTAGTGAATCACCAAATATTTCATGTGCAAACATGACACCACTATGCTGGTAATACTTGTCGCTCATACCGACACCATTCACTTACCAGATGGCACGCTATGTAACTCTTATCGAAGGCTAGAGTCACTCGTCGGCAGGTCGTGTCAGGTATGCTACTATGGAAAGAGAGAAAATGTGACACGTGCATATATCACGCTCTGGGCCAGCCGTGTTTCATCATGGCAAAGCTAGATGAGCAGGTTGAGTTCGCATCTTGTCTGCCAATGGCTATGTTTTACCACTTTGGTCTACTAAACTGGCTTCTGGAGTTTGTAATATAAAACTTCGTGACACGGGGCCTACAGCTCTCCCAAATTCCTGCAGGCTTTTTGAAGTCTATTACTTCATCTAACCTGTAGAATAAAAGCCGTAGTCGTGCATTATTCGAGCATGTCACACAAGTGATGAATGAAAGAACGTATTTTCAATTGTCTATACAATGAAAGAGCTTGTAATGAAATATTTGCGCTGCGATCAGTAGTTCTATTATTGAAACTGGGTTCACTTATGAACCTTGTTACTCTACTAAAATGCAGTTCATTTCATTTTGACTAAATTTTAATAGATTACCAAAACTGTGCCCTGCGTTGTTCTATCAAAAATATACAACAAATAGAAACATTTCAGAACATCCAATGTCTTTTATAAACTATAAATGAAGAAATAAACCTACTCCAACTAAGTACTGTTCTGCACTAACCTATATATTAAAAGGAAGATAATATATACAGCTGCTTATTATTCTGCTGCAGTGTAGATAGTACTCTTAATCAATCAAAATGGCTTCAACACTTTCTGTTCATGCTCGCACCATTGAATATTTTGAAAATTTTTATATGCCAATCGTTTATTAATATTGTAAAATAATAGACAATGACGCCAAAGAAATTACAAGGATGGTATTAGAAGTATTGGAATGTAAATGTGTGAGAAAAAAGCCGTGACATCAAGTTGCAACTCATTAGGTAGTGTGCTCCTATCTAGAATGATAATGAGCTAGTCACCGGGCCTAAATACAACATCATATAACAAAGAATCACGTGACAAGTCCCTGCCAAAACCACGTAAACAGTCTCATAACTATGATGACGTAGTATGACGTAACAACTGGTAACGAGGCTTTATCCAGTAATAAGCTACGGAAGAACTTATTGCGTGGCTAAAATTCTGTGACATTACGCAACAGATGATTGATTTGTGGGGTTTAACGTCCCAAAACCACCATATGATTATGAGAGACGCCGTAGTGGAGGGCTCCGGAAATTTCGACCACCTGGGGTTCTTTAACGTGCACGCAAATCTGAGCACACGGGCCTACAACATTTCCGCCTCCATCGGAAATGCAGCCGCCGCAGTCGGGATTTGATCCCGCGACCTGCGGGGACATTACGCAACAGTTTATGTTACAAAACAACGTCACGTCTAATAATGGCACTAAATTCCTGTAAGACCACTTCACTAGCCATGTGAATAAGTTTACGTAACATCACGCAATTTAAATCACGTAATGAGTAACGTGACACGTTCTCGACAAGACCACCTGGCAGGCGAATGCCGCGGGGAACTGACCTAGACTGAAGAATAGCCAAGTCCATCTATATTACCAGCAATATTAGCAAAACTTTTAATCTCTGGCAAAATTTTTCCGCCCCAAACACTAGGTCCGCTGTTTTTGATAGCTTCTAGAGTGAAAAGGTGCGCATTCTTTTTGTCCGAGATTACTATTGTATGCGTTAGATTTCTTAGCAAACCCAAGGCACTTTTACTGTTTCTATCTATGTATCTCTCCAGCCGTCCACGTCATGGTAATCTAGGAATCGCCTCCTCGATGTGGTGTACCCCAAAATTGGTATATGGGGCGCAAAATAATCTGATGAAAAATCAGCAGCCTCTACGCGTCTTGGGAAGCGAGGTTTCGCGAAACAGGTGGAGGGAGCCTGACCGTGTTGAAATTTTTTTATTGAGCGACATGTCATGATTTGACGTTAAATACAAATGTAAATTTTTCAAGCACTCATTTGAAGAGTCGCAGATGTTTATATTTCAGTTGTTAGCACTCGCGAAACAATGACAACAGGAACGTGAGTATTAGCAACGCTAGAAGCGATAAGTTGATACGAAACGCTGGTGCTCGCGAGGATGGTAGCCCTAGACACTGCTACATGAATGAACTTCAGCACATGGTTTCCCTACTACAATCGACGCTAACCCGATGTGACAGATCTATCAACGGAGTGTATATGTAAGTTTTATAAAATCAGATAGCCACCACTTCAACCACAACTGATGGTTCACGAACATTAGGGTCTGCTGAGACCTCACGTGGCTGTGTGGTAGAATGCTTGGGTTCGATTTCTGCGAGTACCCTGACATTTTTTTTTCTTTGCATTCGTCGGGTCAACGCTGCCGATGCAAGTTTTCCTAACGTTCACTCACGCGTTAAAATTATCCACGTGTGTTGTCGTCGTTCTTGGGTAGTTAATAAGTTAATTCATTTGGAATGAGAATACAATGCCGCTAATGTCAGGGCACTGTCAACTGTACCGGCAAAATTCAGGGGCACGCGGGACTGGTGTTCTTAAGCTGGCGGCCGGCTCATTGGTGTCTCCGCCGGAGGCAACGGCCTTGCTTGCTTGCTTATGTCGCAATTCTTACTCAAGTGTTCGATTTCTTCGTCTAGTCTTGGTCACCACACATTTGTTCCTGTGACTGCCTTCATGACCGAGGTTCCCTGATGCATCTCCTGCAGAATTTGAAGTATTCTCTCGCGTGCATTCTCGGGAACGCCTATTATATTGCCCCAGAAGATGATCTCGTGTGCACCCGTACACTCAAGTTTCTGTGCCACGTACATACGCTTTCAAGCATGCTACCACGTGTTTTCCTTGTGGCAATTTGTTCAGTATAAATGAGTTGACTGTTCGTCATACCTGGTCAGCTTCCGTCAGCCTGTCAAGTTCGTGCAACGTCACACTCGTGTCATAAAGTTGTTGCAATGAGTGGATGTATTCTGGTATTTTTTCTGCGACATCGTCGGGAGTCGCGACAGGAAGCCTGCTGAGGGCGTCGTTAGTTTGGTTTTCTATTCCAGGCTTGTATTTCGTCCAGTGCGGTAGGTACCCAAAAGCAAAGACCAGCGCTGGATACGAGCAGCTGCCATGACAGGTGTAGGGAGATATGCACATAACAGGCCAATCAACGGCTTACATTTGGTGACAAGAATAAAAGGCCGCCTCATCACGGAAATCGGTTACGGCGAAAACCAATGCCATGGCGTCTGGCTTGACCTGTGACTAATTCCGTTCAGCCTGAATCAGTGTTCGCAAACAGAATCGTACCGGTTTGTCGACGCCGTCAATGCGATGGGATTGGAGAGGGATCATGTGGAGAGGGATCACACTCTAGTCGCAACGGCTTTGTTGGGTCAAAGTGCATTAGCATTTTGGCATGCCGGAGGACTTCTTTAGACTGTTCAAATGCTTATTGCTGAATTGAATTCCACTTCTATCGGCAATCTTTCTACAGAAAGTGCAATGCAGCCAGTGCAGTCACCATATATAGGAGGAACTTGCTCAAATAAGTTAGCACGCCACTGTAAGAACGCAGCTCGCTCACGCTGCTTTCATCCCAGCTTCCAGGTTCTTCTTGAGTGGCTGAAGTCCATCACTGGGGGTTTTATGCCCCAGATAAGACACTTCCGTCTTCATGAAGTAGCATTTATCCTTCCGCTCTTTTATGGCACATTCACGGAACTGCTGGAGCACAGCTTAGAGAATGGCTACCACTATCTGATTACCCTTCAGCCACGAGGACGTCGTGTAAATATGCTTGTAGTCACTGAGACCAGCAAGCTCCTTTTCCATAGTGCACTGGAAGATAGCCCGTGTGGACGACACCCCGAATTGTTGGTGGTTGTAGTAAAACAGCCATTTGTGGGTACTGATGGTGGTCAACTTCCTTCACTCGTCAGCCAATGGAATCTGGTTGTAGGCATCGCGTAAGTTCAAGGTTCTATAGACATCTCCCTTCAGCAGTGATGCAAAAATGTTACCATTAAATGGAAACAGATCTTGTTTAGCGACGCATGCTGCATTTACTGTTACCTTGTAGCCGCTGCAGATCTTGACAAACCTGTCTTTATTGAACGACAGAATTGGCGCAGCCGATTCAAAGTGAGTGAGACGGAAAAGCGCACCAGACTTCAATAGCCTTTCAGCTCTTCTGTAACCTCG